TATAATGTATTAACAATGGATTATTATACTCAATAGAATTGACAAATCAATTGTACAAATCTATTTATTCAGAATGCAACATTAGTCAAAAAGAAATATTTTATTAATTTCAATTAAGATTGATAGTAACATAATAATATAAATAAATCATCATATTAATAATTAAATGTTCACTTTAATGTGGTAAGTAACTATTATATACTACTATAATAATAATCATACATGAAGGGAGAAACAAACAAAGATTTAACATTTAGATACACTATGGTAGAAAGAAATTATCTATTAGCCACAACAATAGTATGAATAATAAATAAATAAATACTAAATGTTGGTCTCACAACTGATCATCTCGACTATATATTGACTTAAGACGGTTATAACTCCTTTCTATTGTTGAAACTATTATAACTTCTCTTTGTAACCTCTATTGATGCTTAAATCATAATTAAAAAATATTAATAATAAAGAAACCAAATCAATAGAACATCTATAACATAATTTTGGAGATGATAATCATAAAATTTGACTTGTACTATTTTTTTGAGTGCAAAATTTCAATACCATTATGATATCAAAAAAATCAACAAATAATGGTAAAATATATAATATGAATATATATAAAATTAAAATATTTAAGCTAGATATAGTTATTATGTGCTTTTAAAATTTGGATCATGTCTTACATAACTTTAAAGTTTTATAATATAATAAATCAACCAATATAATTTTCAAATAAATGTTGTTTAACTGAATTTATATTTGTATAGGTTTGACAAATAATTGACTAAAAAAGTTAAAAAGAGCCTTGTTGAAAATCTAAACAAATCATAAACCACAATCAACCTAAAAGGCTGTATCATATTATTAGAAAGGCTTTGAACTCAGAAAAGATGGTTTCAATAATAATTCAAATACCATACTAATCAACTACATATCACCTAAAACTACTGTATCAAGTAATAACTAAATATCAAATTTTGACATACAAATATTGGTTTCATCATTGTATATGGTCAAGAGCATTTAATGATATAAAGTTTCCAATTCTAAAATTTCCCTTCCAAGATGAAACATAATTTGCTGATCTTATCGAAGTTTATTAATTCTACTTGAAAAGTCCTTGGAAAAGTTCAATAGTACTCTTTGGGAAGAATTAAAGGTTATTGCTTGAAATATGTGGTTATGGTCTGTTTGAGCATATAAATCAACTACATTGGGACAAACTAGAATCCTAATTAGATTCACTGGAGTACTCATTAGAAAAAGTTAAATCGATCTTGTGGCAGCACGGCGCCAGGAAGAGGGGGACGAAGGACGAGGACTAGGAGGGGATGGGAAGGAGGGAAAGGGGCAGGCAAGGAAGGAGAGGAAGCACAACACACACACACACACACCCCGAACCCTAACTAACAAACTCCCTCACTCCCTTCCTACATTTCACTAGCCCTAATTTCTGCCCATCATCTCATATAATGCCCCCCTCCTGTCCCATGTTCTATCATGGCCGCCACGGAGGGTGCTGTAGGCGAGGGTTGCCCGAGCACCGTTTGCAAGGTCTCGGCTGCGCGCAGTCGGCCAGAAAGGTAGCGAGTGCCTTGCGGTTCTTTGAGCCTGTTGGCTGATGGTGGCGTCATCGCCGGGTCTAACCCAAGCGGTGTTGGGGAGGGGTTTCGTATTGTGTGCGATGTGAGGAACGTCGGTTGTTAGGATATCGGTGTCGTGTGTCGGGTGGGAGAGTGTCGGCCGGTGATTATAAACGTATTTGCTACTCTTGATGGCTTCGGCCAGCTGATTAAACACAATACCACTAAGATCGATGAGGCCTTGCGTGCGCGGGCAGAGTGCGTGTTGGTTGGTTAGGGGTGTCGGGTTGCTGATGATGAAGAAGCATGTATCAACTTTGTTACTGAATCCGGTTGTGGATGGGGATGTAACATCTTATCTTCTCTCTGAGGCAAGGTGCTGCGGCAGTAGTTTTGAAGTAGTGTATGGACGCTGGCGTGGTATACGTAGGATCGATGCACAATGCACCCCGGGCAGCTCTGATTTGAGAGGATGAATCGGCCCTAAGCATGTGCTAGAGATGCATGTGTGAAGCTCTTGCCGGTTGCGAAGCCGGTGGAGAGTGACACTGGGTCTGTCTCGTGTTACTTGCCTTATGTGATTCTCCATACTGCAAGCGTCAAAATGAGCAGATACATTTATGCTGAGAAGTAGTTTGGGGGGTGGTGGCGTGTGATGGGAGGGTAGGGGGAAGTTGAGTGGGTGTGGGAGTGAGAAGTGTGGAGGGTTGGGGGAGGGCAGGTGAGTTCTCCGTGATGACGATTTATAGATGACGAATCTGAGCTTAAGGCGCAGGCGAAGGTCAGTGGATCCGCGTATGCGATGTCTTATCGCATGCGTGCGTGAGGCTGCCGGAGGCTGCGAACCGCTGGGTTGCCAGTTGCTCTGAAGCACAAACGAGGCATTTGTCTGAGAGGATGATACAAGTGTGTGGGATTTCTGAGCTGGGGCGGGGCGGTGGGGGGGGAAGTCTGTAGGGGCACAGCCTGATGATGCAGTCTATAATCTTTGAGACCTGATTGCCGTGTGGCAGTGTTGAGAAACAGCAGACCCTGAAGGCTTGGGTAGAAGGTGGGGTGGATGTGGTATAGGGAGGAGTGGATGGGAAATGTGGATGACGGTGAAGATATTACATGCAGTCAATACGCTGCGGAGGTCTAGCTTTGGTGCGATGGGCTAGAAGTGACGGCTGACATGTTCCCTGCGAGCAGAGAGAAATATGCGCTGAGATTGGATTGAGGGCCTCATCTCTAAAGCAGAGCATAAGAGCGGCCGGGCTTGAAACTTCAGGGCAGCGGCTTTGAAATGCTTTGAGGTGCAGGCAGAAGTGATGAGAACCCCTCCGGGATCCAGTGATGCTGGGTGAGCTGAGAGCCTCGAAAGGGTTGCAGATATCTATTCTGTCCTCGTTGCAAATGGGTGATGATGATTACTACAGGTCATCTGAGCACGCCAACGAGGTTCTATGTTTGAATAGTCAGTTTTGTACATTACATCAACAGAATCGATCACTGCCGTAGAAGCAAGTATAGTTTACAGTATGACAAAGGAATACTACCTGTTGAAAGTGTAAATGAAGGGGAGTGTCGGTCTGAATATTTTCAGATTACTTTATACTAACTTTTCAGCCTGGAACCAAAGTGGAGGATATTGCTCATTGAACTTATTCTGGACCAGGATGAGGGAAACGTGCTAGTTTCCGTCTTTGCTGCAGACGCACATTGAGAGCGTACATGGTGACTTCTCTAAATTGCATGATACCTAGCTCAGTTTTATCTGGGTGTGTCTGTCATAAATGTCTTTCGTTTGTGAATTCCACACAGAAACGTCTAGGTTGCTTGATTACGGGATATAACACAGATTCTTCGCCAGTCACCCAAGCAATATGCGTAGAACCTGGTTGTGGGGAAGTTTTTGATAGTCTCTCTTAGATAAAAGCCCATGTCATGTGAAGGTTGTATACTATTATGTTGTGAAATTTGTGGCGTACTTATGTTGAAAAACAAACACTAAACCCTAAACACATGAAGGAGTGGAGACCTTGATTCGGTGTCCAAACCCTGGTTGCTTGCATAGTTGCACCAAGCTATATGCAGGATGAGGTTTGTGTACCTGTTTTTCTGTTCGATATTTTTTAAAGGTTGTCCATGTGATGAATAATACAGTGGAGTTATAATACCGCAGAGTATAGTTGCATAATTTCAGAGATATTTTTGTAGGGGTTGTCTTCACAGAAATTTGTTCGTAAGGTTCATTTCGTAAGATCGAAGTGGGAGGCATGTGGTAGAATAATTGCAGTGGCTGGGAAAGTTTTTATAAATCACTTTTCAGTGCGGCGGTGTCGACGCAATGAGGAACGGTGGGTGGAATGGAGAGTAATGGAGAGTGTTCAGGTGCGATGGAAACGGGTGTAAAACGGACAGGCGGTTGAAGGTGGGACATCGGAAGAAGGCTTCTACCGCGGGGATGTAGCTCAGATGGTAGAGCGCTCGCTTAGCATGCGAGAGGTATGGGGATCGATACCCCACTTCTCCACAGCTTCTATAGCTCAGTTGGCTAGAGCACCCGTTTAGTAAGCGGGAGGTCCTGAGTTCAACTCTCAGTGGAAGCATCGAGAGCTCTTTTGTCAGCAAGGAGGGAGTTAAAAATGAAAACTAGAGTTTTATTCAGGGTGCACCTCGCGTCTCGCCAGTGCAGATCCGTCCTCCCTCCGCACTCACCCACACTTCATCACCTCCACCCACCGCATTTCCGCTTCTTACATGCTTTCCGCTGCACGTCGAAGTGTTCATTGGAAAACCCACTGGCTGAATGGCCGAACATTTTAAGGAAATTTTCTCGTGTTGATTTTGTGCTTCTGTGAACTGTGGAGTGTATGCATGGCTGCCAGCATTTGTTCTCAGTTTTTTTAGACTTCTCAACGAGTGTCCAATTACTTGTGTTTTTCATGATTCATGAAGAACTGGGGGTAGTCACTACAGTTATGGAGTAATTGTTGCATTTTTTAAAAACCTTTGTTTATAATATGTTTGTAATTCTTTTCCATCTTTCGCTTCATTTGTATCTTTTCTTTCTTTTTATTCTTTTCCCGTTTTTGATCTTCTGCGTATCCTACTTGTAACGATTCTTTCGTTCATTTCATGACACAAGTGAAGCAGTGCAACTCGCTGACCGCGCCACTCATTTACATGGGTAATACCGTGAACAGTCTAAGAAAGTGGGTGAGTAGAGAAGCTTATGAGCATCCCGGCGGAATGTCCCCAGTTCAAGTGACATACAATCGGATCAGTTCCCAGATGGTCGTTGGAACACCCCAGCACATCTGCCGACCCTTTGGAGATAGATAAACAACATTGCACGCTGTGAAGCACACGACCAAAGCTAATACGCGCTGATCCAGAAGGTAGACAATCCCGCACAATGGATTCAAACTATTGCCCCCAATCAAATAGTAGCTCACTGACATTTCAGAATATTACTTGATATTTCACCAAATCACCTACCTCGCGTGGTGGTTGATTTCGAAATATCGAAAGAGTACCACATTGGCTCAGCTCTCTTTCCTCTTTGATTCCATACCACACTGCCTAACACCAAAGTTTGAACAATGATATTTAAGATTTGATAATTCAAGAGATCCTAGAAATATCAGGTGCCGAAATCCAATTACTGGGTTATGCAAAAGTGCGGAGCCTGAACGTTCTAATTTATTAGTAGATATGTTCTAAATAACTGTCAAAAGAATATCAACATGTGTAAATCTAATTAACTTTACTTAGGAATACACATGATAATTCTCACAAGCATGGGGCCTGTAGCAGCTGTATTGGCACCATCACAACACATCGAGCTCATGGAGATTCCAATCTAGCGTAGCAGTGTCAACCAGAGGGGCCAAGCAGACGTACTTGTGCACCTGCAAGGAATAAAATAATGTTCACCTTAAAGATTGCAGGATAGAGATGTATTAACTTCGAGAGATGACAAAATTTGTGGATTATACTTCATGGCAAAATAAGTTATTCTACCGAAACTGTTTCAAAGTGAGCATACAGAACGTTGTAATTGTGGTATCTGCAGCAGATCTAATACAAGATTCATAAGATTGAAGTCTGCTTGGTCTGAGCCACCACAACGACTTCAGCCAGGGGAGAACTGAAGTCAGTTACTGGAAAGCGTTACAAACTGTGTTAAAAACTGTTGCAACCCTTTCGAGGCTCTTAGCTCACCCAGCATCACTGGGTCCTGGAGGGGTTCTCATCACTTCTGCCTGCACCTCAAAGCATTTCAAAGCCGCTGCCCTGAAGTTTCAAGCCCGGCCGCTCTTATGCTCTGCTTTAGAGATGAGGCCCTCAATCCAATCTCAGCGCATATTTCTCTCTGCTCGCAGGGAACATGTCAGCCGTCACTTCTAGCCCATCGCACCAAAGCTAGACCTCCGCAGCGTATTGACTGCATGTAATATCTTCACCGTCATCCACATTTCCCATCCACTCCTCCCTATACCACATCCACCCCACCTTCTACCCAAGCCTTCAGGGTCTGCTGTTTCTCAACACTGCCACACGGCAATCAGGTCTCAAAGATTATAGACTGCATCATCAGTCTCTGATGAAAGCAGCAAACACATTTCATAGCATGATGATCTTGCTCATTCACATTGAGCCAGAGTCCTGAGCACACCACATGGAGTGGAGTGACATTGGACTCAATTAATCATCACATGACCAAGAAGATTTGACTTTAACAACTCCAAGTTTATATATATATATATATATATATTTATAGTTCATAACTTGTTCTTTTAAAAACAAGTTTTTTTCTCTCTCTCAACCATCATCCTTTTCTTAAAGCAAAGAAAGAGAAAAATGTACAAAAGCACAATATTAGCATAATATTAGCTAGTTGTTGGCAAAGAGGTCACATGGAATGTATCAATATCAATTGGAGATGTTGCATTAATAATTCATAATTTTTATTGCATATTTTTATGTAAAAAAAAAATAAGAATGTATTACCACACTTTTACAATATAATCTACAAATTTGTACATTGTTGTCATTATTTTTTATTTTATTTTATTTTCTTTCTCTTAATTTTAGTTTATTTTTAATCTTGTTCATTCATAGTTTCTTTATAGGTGTTCAAAACTTTGTTGAGAACCTTCTTTAAATTAAAGTACTTATATATGATTTAAAGCATTGTAAGTATTTTAAAACAATAAAACTATGGTTTTTAAGATTTTAATTTTAAAATTAAAATTCAAAATTATTTAAATATATGGATTTGTTTTATTTTCAAGTATTTTTTTTAATTTTGTTTTTCGTCATCTCCATAAAAAAATCAATTTATTATTAAATTACTTACTTATACTGTTGATAGAAAACTTGAAGAAACAAAACATCGTATCTTTTTTGTGAGACAAGACATTTCAAACCTTGATTTGTTATTACTGGAATTTTTTTATTTTAAAATTCAATAACCTACTAAATTATAAAAAAAAAAAATCATTTTTTAGAAGTAAATAAAGAATAAAATAAAAATATTGTTACACTAGTTATATTTCAAAATTCACTCAGTATAAGAATACAAAAAAGTATTAATAATTGTACAAAAATATCATTAATATTTAATATTAAAATAAAATATTAATTTATATTTAATTTGTGAATAATAAATAATTTGTAAACAGTTCTGACCTCCAACCCCTGGGATACCTACAAAATATAGTCGGGCAGAAATGGAAAATCATGTGCAAGGGGCAGACCAAGTCTGGACATCTAGCGGGCAGCACACTGCTATGACTTGCTGCCAGCACGGAGGTTTGGATGGACGTCGTTACTATAACACTTCATCCAATTACGAACATTTGTTAGAACAACGGCCTAGATGTCTATCCATCCATCCACCCCACTTTGCATTTCTCCAGCATTCATTCTTTTTTAGGGTTTCATTCAGAATTAGGGCTTTGCTGGCCGTCTGTGTTACAATTCAGCTTCGGAGATGCAAATCGTCTTTCGAATGCGTGTACATATGCTTCCGTGCCGACTGCGATATCTCCATTGATCAGTTAGTTGTCTTGCTCACTTGGTCATCTTCAGCTTTACCTGAGTGCTACTAAGCGCAGAATTGTAGTTTTAGGGGTCGGACTGGTGTTGTAAGGTTCTTGTATTTGCGGATTGGTTGGTATGTATGCGATTTTTCTATAACTCACAGTTGTAGCTGGCACTGTCCGTTATAGCTTACGAAGCTACTCAAACCTTGCTCCGTAGTCTGGGAAGTCTGAGCCAGAATTGGTTGTTCCTCGTTATCGATGTAGCTCAATCCCGTGTGTACAACACGGTGTGTGCTCTTTATCTTTGCACTGGAAGTTGAATGGTGGATTGCTAGAGTGGTTGGGCGAGTGGGCAGTTAGGCAGACGCACATGTCTGGATTAACAATCGGGCATTGGCCCCACATGTATCGATGCTTGTTTTTGGGGCGGATTTGCGAGTAGAGTGTCGAAGCAGTGATGATCGAAATACCAGTATAAGCCAGTTCTGCTACTGAGAATTTGTGAATGAGAAACTGGTGAAGAACTGAGCTTGGGAGTTGCAGTGTAGGAGAGGTGCGAGGGGTGTTTCGCGGTGACGACAAGAAAATTTCGTCAAGCTCAACAGACTTGATACGGGGACAGAAATATAATTTCGCATCCCATATGATAGTTAACCCGCTGATCTGAACGAACACCTGGTTGAATGGGGAGACAGAGAGGGGAGAGTGGAGGTCGATGATGAAGAATCCTAGGCTTGTTTCCTAAACATTCGCAGTGGCCGCCTAAAGCTTTCGTCTTGCGGGACTAGAGAGCTAATGCAGCTTCCAAACCTTCCTTGGACGTCTGAGACTATAGAGACAATGGTAAAGTCAAGGACCACACGATCGAACTTGGTTCTGTCGAGGCACAGAAATATAGTCAGTGGTGACAGATTCACTTAAAACGAGTCTGTCAGTATGTACCTTTCTACACAACACCGTTGAGGTGGAAAGGTAGAATTTACCAGTGGATTCGAACATGGTACGGTTATCAGTCGCGCAGTATCAATTTTGCCAGTGGACTTGGAAATAAGGGTGATTGGCATGCACGGGGTTTTCCACATTTATACGTGGACTTCTATAGCTCATAAACTGTGTTCCGTGTGAAATCCCACACAGATTGCCAATTACCTAAATCTTTGGAGATAGAAATCACCACGATTCCGATGGGTTAGGATTGTTTCTCCCTGATAAGAATCGTGTATATCGAAAACTCCGAGCATGAGAATTTGAAATTTCCTCTTCGACTCTGCTATGTAATCTGGTTGCTGATGATGAAGAAGCATGTATCAACTTTGTTACTGAATCCGGTTGTGGGTGGGGATGTAACATCTTATCTTCTCTCTGAGGCAAGGTGCTGCGGCAGTAGTTTTGAAGTAGTGTATGGACGCTGGCGTGGTATACGTAGGATCGATGCACAATGCACCCCGGGCAGCTCTGATTTGAGAGGATGAATCGGCCCTAAGCATGTGCTAGAGATGCATGTGTGAAGCTCTTGCCGGTTGCGAAGCCGGTGGAGAGTGACACTGGGTCTGTCTCGTGTTACTTGCCTTATGTGATTCTCCATACTGCAAGCGTCAAAATGAGCAGATACATTTATGCTGAGAAGTAGTTTGGGGGGTGGTGGCGTATGATGGGAGGGTAGGGGGAAGTTGAGTGGGTGTGGGAGTGAGAAGTGTGGAGGGTTGGGGGAGGGCAGGTGAGTTCTCCGTGATGACGATTTATAGATGACGAATCTGAGCTTAAGGCGCAGGCGAAGGTCAGTGGATCCGCGTATGCGATGTCTTATCGCATGCGTGCGTGAGGCTGCCGGAGGCTGCGAACCGCTGGGTTGCCAGTTGCTCTGAAGCACAAACGAGGCATTTGTCTGAGAGGATGATACAAGTGTGTGGGATTTCTGAGCTGGGGCGGGGCGGTGGGGGGGGAAGTCTGTAGGGGCACAGCCTGATGATGCAGTCTATAATCTTTGAGACCTGATTGCCGTGTGGCAGTGTTGAGAAACAGCAGACCCTGAAGGCTTGGGTAGAAGGTGGGGTGGATGTGGTATAGGGAGGAGTGGATGGGAAATGTGGATGACGGTGAAGATATTACATGCAGTCAATACGCTGCGGAGGTCTAGCTTTGGTGCGATGGGCTAGAAGTGACGGCTGACATGTTCCCTGCGAGCAGAGAGAAATATGCGCTGAGATTGGATTGAGGGCCTCATCTCTAAAGCAGAGCATAAGAGCGGCCGGGCTTGAAACTTCAGGGCAGCGGCTTTGAAATGCTTTGAGGTGCAGGCAGAAGTGATGAGAACCCCTCCAGGACCCAGTGATGCTGGGTGAGCTAAGAGCCTCGAAAGGGTTGCAACAGTTTTTAACACAGTTTGTAACGCTTTCCAGTAACTGACTTCAGTTCTCCCCTGGCTGAAGTCGTTGTGGTGGCTCAGACCAAGCAGACTTCAATCTTATGAATCTTGTATTAGATCTGCTGCAGATACCACAATTACAACGTTCTGTATGCTCACTTTGAAACAGTTTCGGTAGAATAACTTATTTTGCCATGAAGTATAATCCACAAATTTTGTCATCTCTCGAAGTTAATACATCTCTATCCTGCAATCTTTAAGGTGAACATTATTTTATTCCTTGCAGGTGCACAAGTACGTCTGCTTGGCCCCTCTGGTTGACACTGCTACGCTAGATTGGAATCTCCATGAGCTCGATGTGTTGTGATGGTGCCAATACAGCTGCTACAGGCCCCATGCTTGTGAGAATTATCATGTGTATTCCTAAGTAAAGTTAATTAGATTTACACATGTTGATATTCTTTTGACAGTTATTTAGAACATATCTACTAATAAATTAGAACGTTCAGGCTCCGCACTTTTGCATAACCCAGTAATTGGATTTCGGCACCTGATATTTCTAGGATCTCTTGAATTATCAAATCTTAAATATCATTGTTCAAACTTTGGTGTTAGGCAGTGTGGTATGGAATCAAAGAGGAAAGAGAGCTGAGCCAATGTGGTACTCTTTCGATATTTCGAAATCAACCACCACGCGAGGTAGGTGATTTGGTGAAATATCAAGTAATATTCTGAAATGTCAGTGAGCTACTATTTGATTGGGGGCAATAGTTTGAATCCATTGTGCGGGATTGTCTACCTTCTGGATCAGCGCGTATTAGCTTTGGTCGTGTGCTTCACAGCGTGCAATGTTGTTTATCTATCTCCAAAGGGTCGGCAGATGTGCTGGGGTGTTCCAACGACCATCTGGGAACTGATCCGATTGTATGTCACTTGAACTGGGGACATTCCGCCGGGATGCTCATAAGCTTCTCTACTCACCCACTTTCTTAGACTGTTCACGGTATTACCCATGTAAATGAGTGGCGCGGTCAGCGAGTTGCACTGCTTCACTTGTGTCATGAAATGAACGAAAGAATCGTTACAAGTAGGATACGCAGAAGATCAAAAACGGGAAAAGAATAAAAAGAAAGAAAAGATACAAATGAAGCGAAAGATGGAAAAGAATTACAAACATATTATAAACAAAGGTTTTTAAAAAATGCAACAATTACTCCATAACTGTAGTGACTACCCCCAGTTCTTCATGAATCATGAAAAACACAAGTAATTGGACACTCGTTGAGAAGTCTAAAAAAACTGAGAACAAATGCTGGCAGCCATGCATACACTCCACAGTTCACAGAAGCACAAAATCAACACGAGAAAATTTCCTTAAAATGTTCGGCCATTCAGCCAGTGGGTTTTCCAATGAACACTTCGACGTGCAGCGGAAAGCATGTAAGAAGCGGAAATGCGGTGGGTGGAGGTGATGAAGTGTGGGTGAGTGCGGAGGGAGGACGGATCTGCACTGGCGAGACGCGAGGTGCACCCTGAATAAAACTCTAGTTTTCATTTTTAACTCCCTCCTTGCTGACAAAAGAGCTCTCGATGCTTCCACTGAGAGTTGAACTCAGGACCTCCCGCTTACTAAACGGGTGCTCTAGCCAACTGAGCTATAGAAGCTGTGGAGAAGTGGGGTATCGATCCCCATACCTCTCGCATGCTAAGCGAGCGCTCTACCATCTGAGCTACATCCCCGCGGTAGAAGCCTTCTTCCGATGTCCCACCTTCAACCGCCTGTCCGTTTTACACCCGTTTCCATCGCACCTGAACACTCTCCATTACTCTCCATTCCACCCACCGTTCCTCATTGCGTCGACACCGCCGCACTGAAAAGTGATTTATAAAAACTTTCCCAGCCACTGCAATTATTCTACCACATGCCTCCCACTTCGATCTTACGAAATGAACCTTACGAACAAATTTCTGTGAAGACAACCCCTACAAAAATATCTCTGAAATTATGCAACTATACTCTGCGGTATTATAACTCCACTGTATTATTCATCACATGGACAACCTTTAAAAAATATCGAACAGAAAAACAGGTACACAAACCTCATCCTGCATATAGCTTGGTGCAACTATGCAAGCAACCAGGGTTTGGACACCGAATCAAGGTCTCCACTCCTTCATGTGTTTAGGGTTTAGTGTTTGTTTTTCAACATAAGTACGCCACAAATTTCACAACATAATAGTATACAACCTTCACATGACATGGGCTTTTATCTAAGAGAGACTATCAAAAACTTCCCCACAACCAGGTTCTACGCATATTGCTTGGGTGACTGGCGAAGAATCTGTGTTATATCCCGTAATCAAGCAACCTAGACGTTTCTGTGTGGAATTCACAAACGAAAGACATTTATGACAGACACACCCAGATAAAACTGAGCTAGGTATCATGCAATTTAGAGAAGTCACCATGTACGCTCTCAATGTGCGTCTGCAGCAAAGACGGAAACTAGCACGTTTCCCTCATCCTGGTCCAGAATAAGTTCAATGAGCAATATCCTCCACTTTGGTTCCAGGCTGAAAAGTTAGTATAAAGTAATCTGAAAATATTCAGACCGACACTCCCCTTCATTTACACTTTCAACAGGTAGTATTCCTTTGTCATACTGTAAACTATACTTGCTTCTACGGCAGTGATCGATTCTGTTGATGTAATGTACAAAACTGACTATTCAAACATAGAACCTCGTTGGCGTGCTCAGATGACCTGTAGTAATCATCATCACCCATTTGCAACGAGGACAGAATAGATATCTGCAACCCTTTCGAGGCTCTCAGCTCACCCAGCATCACTGGATCCCGGAGGGGTTCTCATCACTTCTGCCTGCACCTCAAAGCATTTCAAAGCCGCTGCCCTGAAGTTTCAAGCCCGGCCGCTCTTATGCTCTGCTTTAGAGATGAGGCCCTCAATCCAATCTCAGCGCATATTTCTCTCTGCTCGCAGGGAACATGTCAGCCGTCACTTCTAGCCCATCGCACCAAAGCTAGACCTCCGCAGCGTATTGACTGCATGTAATATCTTCACCGTCATCCACATTTCCCATCCACTCCTCCCTATACCACATCCACCCCACCTTCTACCCAAGCCTTCAGGGTCTGCTGTTTCTCAACACTGCCACACGGCAATCAGGTCTCAAAGATTATAGACTGCATCATCAGGCTGTGCCCCTACAGACTTCCCCCCCCACCGCCCCGCCCCAGCTCAGAAATCCCACACACTTGTATCATCCTCTCAGACAAATGCCTCGTTTGTGCTTCAGAGCAACTGGCAACCCAGCGGTTCGCAGCCTCCGGCAGCCTCACGCACGCATGCGATAAGACATCGCATACGCGGATCCACTGACCTTCGCCTGCGCCTTAAGCTCAGATTCGTCATCTATAAATCGTCATCACGGAGAACTCACCTGCCCTCCCCCAACCCTCCACACTTCTCACTCCCACACCCACTCAACTTCCCCCTACCCTCCCATCACACGCCACCACCCCCCAAACTACTTCTCAGCATAAATGTATCTGCTCATTTTGACGCTTGCAGTATGGAGAATCACATAAGGCAAGTAACACGAGACAGACCCAGTGTCACTCTCCACCGGCTTCGCAACCGGCAAGAGCTTCACACATGCATCTCTAGCACATGCTTAGGGCCGATTCATCCTCTCAAATCAGAGCTGCCCGGGGTGCATTGTGCATCGATCCTACGTATACCACGCCAGCGTCCATACACTACTTCAAAACTACTGCCGCAGCACCTTGCCTCAGAGAGAAGATAAGATGTTACATCCCCATCCACAACCGGATTCAGTAACAAAGTTGATACATGCTTCTTCATCATCAGCAACCCGACACCCCTAACCAACCAACACGCACTCTGCCCGCGCACGCAAGGCCTCATCGATCTTAGTGGTATTGTGTTTAATCAGCTGGCCGAAGCCATCAAGAGTAGCAAATACGTTTATAATCACCGGCCGACACTCTCCCACCCGACACACGACACCGATATCCTAACAACCGACGTTCCTCACATCGCACACAATACGAAACCCCTCCCCAACACCGCTTGGGTTAGACCCGGCGATGACGCCACCATCAGCCAACAGGCTCAAAGAACCGCAAGGCACTCGCTACCTTTCTGGCCGACTGCGCGCAGCCGAGACCTTGCAAACGGTGCTCGGGCAACCCTCGCCTACAGCACCCTCCGTGGCGGCCATGATAGAACATGGGACAGGAGGGGGGCATTATATGAGATGATGGGCAGAAATTAGGGCTAGTGAAATGTAGGAAGGGAGTGAGGGAGTTTGTTAGTTAGGGTTCGGGGTGTGTGTGTGTGTGTGTTGTGCTTCCTCTCCTTCCTTGCCTGCCCCTTTCCCTCCTTCCCATCCCCTCCTAGTCCTCGTCCTTCGTCCCCCTCTTCCTGGCGCCGTGCTGGCTTCTCGGAGTCGTCATTTAGTCCGCCGCCCCTCCGCATCCAGCTGTACCTGTTATCGTCGAGAATTTTTGTTTGCTTGGTGTGGCTTGCCATTTTCTTCGGAAACTTGGCCTCAGTTTTGGTTGTCTTCCGTTTGTGTGAATGTGAGTGAATCCATTTGCTTGTGTTCAACGTTGTGTAAAGCAGGGATGGGCCCACCAATAATGAACTTGTAAATGTGGAATGGAGGTAAATGAATTTTATAATTTATGGGTACCAAATGATTAGTTTAAGCTGTTGTGAAAATTCGTGGTATTCCTTTATTACTTAGGAACTCTAGATTGATGAGCATTGTCCAGTCAAGTTAGAGAACTCAAGGTATTAGTTGAATATTGCAATTGCACTAAACAATGTTGTGGCATTGTAAAAGTTTCAGTACAATTAAGAGTATAAATAGTAGGTGTCAGTTGAGTGATATGCTCTAATATTGAGTGCCATCGTTTGCAACACATGTTTGTATCTGTAAAATAGAAGTATGTTTACTTTGGCATAGGGTTTTGCCGTTACTCAAGCCCTATAAATAACAATCTAAGAGACAAAATTTATCTTTGGGGTTAAGTCCATCGATTCTTTTGCAAAATTAATAGAGCATCAACAAAAGTTTTTGGATTTATGAAAAACATTATCAATGTATTAACAAAACTTGTAAAGATTTCAGTGCTCAGGTTTTAATATATATATATTTTTTGTAAGATGTGGTTTTGAAAGCTATTCACAAAATAATGTAAAACTCAATAAAAGTTTATTATACACATCTTATAATTCGACGTTTAGTTATATATTTACAAAGGCTATTGAAAGAATAAGAACACTTTGGTACAATAATTGAATTACTTTTTGTAAGACATTTCAAAATTATTTTTATAGTATATAGTATCATTAAATAAAAAAGATAATAAAAATGGCAAAGTCAAATGAATTGGGTGCAAAAATAATTAAAATAATATAAGAAAAATATCACTTATATCTCTTAAATATGTTGAAATATCAAGAATATCCTTGTATTTTTTATAATAGCAAATCTATCTCTTACTTTTGTGATAATATCAAAACTATCTTTTAACATGATAAGCTATTACAATTATTCTTTTATACATGCAATTGGAGCCTAATTTTTATTCCATAGAGAAATTAATGGGTCTTTTTCTTTTTTTTAGGCATATTATGCATCAATATAGGTTATTTTCTAATATCCATTGATTTTCTAAAATATAACACATTTTACATGTTGTAACATCAAGTTGATATTATTTGATTTGATACAACTCAAATTATATTGAAAAGAGTAGATGCATTATATTGGTTGCAATTGGCATTGCAAAAATAAAAGAAACATGTAATTTGCTTCTTGTTTGTCTTAAGAGGGAAGAATAGTACAATAGTAGTGAGCCAAAGAAAGACAATGGTTATTGTAGCTACTTGAGCCAAGGATTTTATTTTATTTTATTTTTATTTTATTTATAGTTTTTATACTTGAAAACTAAAGTAGTAGTAAAAATTACTGAGGCCATTACAAGAATTAACTTTGCAGCTTGTATTTCTATTGATTGTGCCATTATTTTTCAATCAATGCTTAATCTAGTTACACAACTATAAGTTTAATATCTACAACCTATAAGTATAGAAAAGTACTACCACAAATATCTAACATATTAATTGAAATGAGATCATAACCAAATTCATCACTAAGTCTTTTAGGACATTTTGAAATGCTTGTGACCAATCTAGACCTTAAAGAATAATAAGTCATTTAAGACTTAGCAATGCATGACATCTCAATCATCAATACCTACTAATTTCAATTCAATATCAAGATAGAACTCATTTTTTTTGAAGAACACCATATGACTAGAATTCTATCAAACATTTGTTGAAGATCAGCAAGTACTTGCTTAGTTACATCCACATAGAGATTAAGCATAGTATGTTGCTAATAATAAAAAGGCAGCAAAAAGTTAAAGTAAGTTATTGTGGTGGCACCAAGGATTTAGTTGGATGAGGTAGAAATGGATGTAATATCAAAAGGATGGAAGTTGCCTCGTTGGTGAGCAAACCACCACCTATAAGTAAAGAATGTTGGAAGTAAGAATCATCTTTCTCCACACTTCTCTTAGACTACAATCCTTGCTGATGGTAAGTGTTTGTAGCTTTTAGACTTCTTTTCTTTAATAGGTTATGGGCCCACTCACATTTGCTTGAGTGTTTTTTGAAGTTCTTTGAAGTCGTTTTGTAAGTGTGGAGTAGATCAAGTTGTTGTTGCTGTTGTTAGGCTTTGGAAAAAACTAATTTTCACATTCAGATCTAGATCATGGTTTGCTCTTACTTGTGGTTAAGATCATTTTAGTGTTAGTGTCTTGTTTTTCACCTATAGACAAAGTTTGTATTGTGATTTTTCTGAGATAGATCCTTGATAATCTAACTTTACGATTTCATGTTCTAAAGTTGCTAATTGTGCTTAAAAGGCCTCTTATGGTGTATAGAGGTGATTTGTGAGCATAAGAGAGATATTAGAGTGGAAAATCAGATTTGAGACACTTAGATAAGTCATCAGACTCATGACAAGTCTTAGAAGTGAAGTTGAAAGTATTTTTGAGAATTAAAACACTAGTTTGTTCACAAAGAAGGATTCTGTGATTCTAAGGCAGCAAAACCTTCTTACTGATTTTTGAGAGCATTAGGACTTCTTCTTACAATCTTTTTTGATACAACTCTTTCTTAGACATGGCTTCAAGTAAGGGTGAAGGATTGAGAGTTATTGAGAAGTTTAGAGGTGACAATTTCTACTATTGGAAGATAAAAATGGAGCTTTGGTTGGCATCTTTGGATCTTTGGGATATTGTAGATGAAAGTGAAGAGGCTCCAAGCAAAGATGCTGATATGAAGGAGAAGAAGGAGTTCAAACGTCGTGAAAAAAAGGCTTTTGGATTGATTGCAACTAATATAGATGAAGCCAACTTCTCCTACATTATCTCTTGCAAAGGACCAACGGAAGCATGGAAGACTCTTTGCAACATCTATGAGAGCAAAAGCTTATCCAACATCATCTATACAGGGAGGAAGTTCTTTACTTGAAAGATGGAAGAAGGTGAAGACCTCATGGCTCATGACAATAAGGTAAAGGCTCTTGCAAATCAACTAGCAATTGTTGACAAGCCTTTACAAGAAAGTGATATTGTCATGACCTTGCTAATGAGCCTTCCCAAATCCTACAACTACCTTATTTTGGCATTAGAGTCCATCAAGCTAAAAGAGCTTATAATGGATTATGTGAAGGCAAGACTTATCCATGAAGTAACCAAGAAGAAAGAAAAGAAGCCTCAAACTGAAGATTCAGCACTCTACTCATGTCAAGGCAAGGGCAACTATTCAAATCAACGAGCTAATGTCAAATCTTGCTTCATTTGTAGCAAAGTAGGCCATTTTGCTCGAAATTGCTACAAAGGCAAAAAGATGAAGAATGAGAATACAAATAGTATGCAAGATGAATTTGGAGGACAAGATTATCCATTCACGGCAACAAATGGGACCTCTATGGGTGCCATGTCAAGATGGATTGTGGATTCAAGTTGTTCCAAGCATAGGACACCTTATAAGTGTTCATTTGATATTTATGAGGCTATTCCAGCATCAAACGTGGTGTTGGCAGATAGAGATATATGTGAAGCCATTGGAATTGGCTCTATTATGGTGGAGGTGGTTGTGAATGGACAAACCAATAGAATCAGATTCAAAAACGTCTTTCATGTGCCTAAGATGAAGCAAAACCTACTTTCAGTGAGTAAACTTATAACGGAAGGTTTTAAAGTTCAATTTGATATGAATGGATGTTTTGTAAGAACACTGAGTGGATACAAGGTCTTCAAAGGCTTGAAAGAAGGAAATTTGTACTACCTCATTTGTAAAAAGGTGAATGGAGTGGAGGTAGCCGCATTTGCTAAGTTTACATCAAACCAAGATAAGTTGAATATATGGCATCGTCGCCTTGGCCATTTGAATGTAAAGAGCATGAGAGAGCTCAAGACCATGGTAAGTGGCTTAAATCTTGGCAATACAAGCCATAATGCAAAACAACTTGCATGTGAAGGATGCATACAATACAAACAACAAAGGGCCTCATTTCCAAAGAGTGTAGCAACATGTCCTACCAAATTGCTGGAGATTGTCTATTTGGATGTATGTGGACCTATGAAGAACACAAGTATTGGAGGATCAAGGTATTTTCTTACTTTCATTGATGATTACTTAAGAAAGATTTGGATCTACATTCTTAAAGTCAAGAGTGAATGCTTTTGGAGGTTTAAGGAGTTTAAAGCACTTGTTGAGAAACAAAGTGAATGCAAGATCAAGGTGCTACATACGGACAATGGAAGTGAGTACATATCTAAGAAATTTGATGTTTATTTGAAGAATGAAAGAATTTCTAGACAAACTACAACTGCATATACTCCACAACAAAATGGTGTTGCTAAAAAGGCAAATCAAACCATTGTAGAGATAACAAGGAGTATGCTTTATACTCAAAACCTTGGCTATGAGTTTTGGATGGAAGCTATGGTGAATGCAATGTATACAAGAAATAAGTGTCCAATAAGTGCTCTTGCATCAATGACACCACAAGAAGCTTGGAGTGGGAGACAACCTTGCATTTCCCATATAAGGACTTTTGGTTGCATTGCATATGCAAAAACATCAGATTGTATGAGGTCCAAACTTGATGCAAAAGGTATAAAGTGTGTATTTCTTGGTTATTTTGAAGGTACTAAGGCATGTAGGCTAATGTACTTAGAAACCAAGAAGATCATCAAAAGTCGTGTTATTGAGTTTTTGGAGGATAAGAGTGCTTGTGAGCACTTGGAGATGTGTCTAAGTGGGTGTAATAGTCT